GATAATAATGCGTATTTTTGAACTCTGTTTATTAATGATTCAACTAAAAGAAAATTGAAATTATTAAGATTAACAAATTATACATTCACGTTTTACGACTTGACTTAATTGACTTGACCGTTTCTTAAATAATTTAATTATTATAGAATCGAATTGAATTTTTCATTTGATTTTTGATGCCATTCAGTAGCAAAACACGATAAAGTAGACATTTCTCTAGCAAAACTCTTTAGATTCATAGTATTCGTTAAAAATTTCTTATATACATAAAACTAACGAAATGATTTTACCAAAAATCTAATGTGTTGTGTTATTTTAGTAGCTTTGCCTAATTTCATCGAGTTTAACGCTTTGTTATTATTGTTGTATAATAATCAACGTAATAAAAAGAAGTTTAAATTAACAATTATCGATTATGGCCTAAATAAAAAGTTCTATTAAACATATCTTATCTTTCTCATCTAATAATGAAAAATGACCATTACTCCAAGCCAGTGTTTGACGATAAAAACAATTTAGAAATACATGAAATGTTTTATTCAAGATAACATCAAAAGTGTTTCCATAAGCATATTTTTTGCTCTCAGCATGTTTTCCATAATTCTACTTTTACTTAGTTATAGTTGTTATGAAAAAAAAAAAAAATTGATTGTGTTGATCTGTTTTTTAATATATCTGAGAAAGTTTTAGCATTTTATATTTATGCTGTTTTTGTTTTATATTTCTCGTCGAAAAATATTTAACATGTGTTGTGAATGTAATTTTTTTTCTTTTAGGAATTCTTTAATTTCAAATTTAAAAAATTTTTTGCTATTAAAGTACACATATTAAAGTTACACATATGTCAGGTGATTTCGTGACACTAAAGATTATTATAAGATAAATATTTTAAACGTTTTTTTTTTATCGGAGTAGAATGTGACGCTTGTACAAAATGTATTGTTCACAGATGACTAAGAAAATGTAAATTGACTCTGCTCGTGCATTTTGATTGCTCGCGCGTTTTTTGTTATAAATTCCATTTGAAAAACGGAAACCCGGCAAACGGGAAACCATTCCATTAACGGACGTCGTAATTTTATTTTATATTTACTAATCGAGGCTCGTGTGCATATTTATGTGTACTTTGAAACTGTTGTGTACACTCCGATTGTTGTTAAACAACCTGCGCGCGATGCAAACGGTTAATAACAGGAAATTAGGTAATCCAACAAGCGGACCGGTTTCGATTATAATATGCCGAAGAGTCAACGAATTGATCGCGAATAACAGCAGCCGCGTCAAATAAATTTGCAGGTCTTGTGCACCGATGACAAAATATAATTCATGTCCTGTACTTTTATGCGATAGGGTTTAAATTTTCAAGATATATCAGCTCGGTATATTACTGCAGTGTAACCTTTATCGATAATTTAAGAGATTGTATGCGTGTATGGTCATTGAGGAAGTTGTCGTATGCGCGTTTAGGTGAACACGCTATTTACAGCTTTGTGTACCTGTACGTATAACGCGTGTACGCGTAAATATATACAACTGGACATGTGACACGAGTTCATGTCGAGAATTCTCGTATGGGTACACGCGTGTCCGATAAAAAATGTCCGAGAGCCAAGAGAATCCACTCAACCGCTGTGGGTTGCCTGTGGATGTTCACGGCGACGGCAATGCGGCAGCGTGGGGAGGTGACAATAGTCGGCAACATATTAACATGGACACGCGCCCGGGCAGCACAATATTGTTCCGACAATTAAAAATATAATGTGCACGCCAAACGACTTCCTGTGTGTTATAAAACGTGTACATAAAGTGCGTACAATTAAAGTATTAAATCGCCACGCGGAATGGCAACCGATACGATACTCGCACTGTGTAAAGTCATTTACACGGTCATGAACCGAACACCATGTGCGGACATGATATTACGTTGTGCTTTAAAATAGCTAGTCGTTTCTTATTTTTACGAATGTTAATTGATACCTGAGATCGTTGAACGCCGACTGTAAGCCGGTGACAACATTAGTCATTTAAAACTATAACAAATCAACGTTCACAGACTTCAAGCTCTGTTTCGTCAATTATTATTTTTTAACACTCGACTTTGAAACGTTTTCGAAGAAATGAAAATATTACATTAAGTTCTATCGATTTGCGTAATAGAAACTGCTGTTCACAGACCTCGACGTTACATAGCAAAATATGTGGTGCAAAGTGAATGGGTCAACCGCATTAAATATAATGCTAAGACACATGCGTGCGCTCGTCAAGTTCGAGGCTGTACATTAACGACTTCCCTTGCTTCTCCTCCTCTGTACTCGACGAGAGAAACCTGTGGCACTGCTGGGACACTTCATTAAAACGCCATCAATCAGCAGCAGCAGCAGTGCACTATAGCTGGCAGATTGTAATGGCGTTTTCATATTGTATACACCTGTTGAATACACTTAAGGTGCCCAGAGTCGCTCGACAAACAAGACTTCTGCTTCATTTTGTGTGCGATTTACTTCGATAATGGGTGTAGATAACGTTAGTCAGGCTTGCACAACGACAACCGATCAGGGCATTTTGTTATCATTACAGTAATTGTTATGTAAAGGTTACAGACGTTTAGGTGTAGTTGGTGTAATTCCCAACACCGTTTCGCAATAGGCCGCCGACACTTTTGTGTCGATGGATTGTTTTTTGCTATTACCACTTCGTTTGTTGTTTTTGACTGTTTTTCTTTGAATGACCGCAGCGCTAGACAAATATTCTCGATATGTCGTGTGTAATTTATGTGGATAAAACAATTTGCTACCTAACGGAGGTTCGTGCCAAGTATTCGCTTTACGGCTGTTGTAATCGTTCGTGAGGTACATTAGAATTTGTTCAGAAGGAATAAAAAAATTAAAAAACAATAGTATTCCGAACACGTCGAACAGCGTGTATAATATTATTTATTTTTTTACACGTATCGAATACGATTGAACGCTATTGGATGCCGACCGCGAACTGTGCAAAGCAAATAACGCACGTGAAGCCGTGACATTTATGTAATTAAACCGCGACATTGGCGCTGCAGTAGTATCCGAACGCGTCATCGACTATTGTTACAATAATGTTATTCAACGTGATGTGTAGGTACCGTTAAGTATTTTAAAAATAACTCTACTGCTGCATAAAAGTTCTAGAGCTTTGCTGTGTTTACAAAGAACCCTAAAAAATGGCAAAACAATGCGTCGACATGCTCTGAAATTATATGAATAGAAGTGACCTGTGTCGTCTATTATTTAATCATTAGATTTGTTGACGTACAAGCTAATGACGTCTAACTGGATGACAAAAAAAAAAGTCGGGTATTCGACGGTTCACACACAGTAGTTCCCCAAGTGCTTTGCCGTGATTAATACACTGAAATTATATTAAATCCGCAGTCTATAATTGGACGACGCGTTTCCGACGTTTCCACGTGGGTGTCTCGTACCAACAGCAGAAATGGATCAAAGTCGTTAAAGTTTCCGAAAACATATAGTTATTTGTTACAAGGTTGCGGCTCCTTGCACAATATCACAACAGATGGCACGGGCAACTCGGGTAAAATTGAAGCGACGCTTTTGTTATTGCGTTTGTAGGTAGTATATTAACTACGTTGTCGGCTTGGGACCTCTAAAACATTGCCGCAATTCGACCGTTGCAAACTTATATAGTCACTTAATATGCTGTAGTTTATAAAGTTGTTTTGTAGCCTCAAGTAATTACCGATTCCGGTATACATATTATACTCGGAGAAGAAGGGGAAAGGATCATGAAACGAGAGGACAAATGCAATCCGCGGTATTGCACGTGCAATTACAAACCTTTCTTGTGTCATAATGTTTATTGTTTTATCGGCTTACTGCTGGTGAAATGGGTATACCCTTGTTGTACTGTTTATTGTAATTTCAACGTTTTTTAAGTGCTATCACGCGTAGAATTCGCGATTTACGACCGCGTGTCTTAGTTTTAAGCATTCGCGATAAATTACTTTGCCGAAATCATTAAAAAACGACCCACGGTCGGCACGATTCAGTGGTGTTATAACCGTCAAAACGTGGCGGTTGTGTATATTTTATGAGAAGATCTATATACTTGTTGACAAAAACAATTTCCGTGTACTTTTTGACGCGAATATATTTACACGTTGATATTTGCATACAATAATTTTGAATGCGCGTTCTTTTTCCCATAGACCTATACAATTGAACATTTTTTATGTTAAGTTAATAATGACGAAATTTATGATTTTTTATTATTTAGTCGATGATTGTTTGTAGATCAAACGTGTGTTGAAATGTCCGTAAGTTTAACATTAAAATCATAAATATATTTCAAGTAAAATTGGAATTAACTTACGGCGAGAGACTTAAATTTCGTAGTGGCGTTTTTAAATTGTTATAGAGGTATACCGTGAAGTGATTGAATATGTTTCTCTAGGCTTCAGATTACACGAGGAAGTGATTTTATGCTGAGCGAATAATTATTTCAAGCAAAATAATAATTTAATCGTATCGTTTCTATGAATTACACACGTTTTTTTTTTACTTGATTTAGGAATAAAACAGGTCCCTATATCACGAGAAACATTTCACTTCTGCAGTACACTTTAAAATGCTCTACAGTTGCGTTATCTACGAAACAATGTTGCAGAAGTACCATTTACTTTGTCTTGAAAAACATTTACCGCTTGTACCCATAAAATTAATAGAACACTTGAAATATGCCTATTAACATGAGTGCGTAATTTGCGGTTATATTCGCAATTTATATCCAATACCCGACGTGTATGTACTCAATGTGGAAAATCGCAGTAATAAATTACACCTCCTATTGTACAATGCATTGAATTAAATAAAAAACAAAGAGCTATTATGACCTTGAAGTTTTTATAGGCCATATTATTATACATAATTTACATTCTTTAGTTAATATCTAGTTTAGTCCCAGGTGATGCGCACATATTTTTTAAATGTTTATTTTTTCCTCAGAGTCCCGACTTCGATTCCATGTTGCAAGGACTTATGGTAGAAGATCCACAAGTCGTAAAATCAAGAACGGAGCCGGTGATGTGCGATTTCTTCGAGGCGACCGGATTGGCACCAAGACCGGTCGAACAAAATCTGAGCAATCACCACCATCCGGACGATTCGCAGGAGCCGCCGTGGTTCGAAATGAATGAGGTGGTGGATCCAAATATGTTTTCTCCAATAGAGGATCAGTCGTTGCAGGTGACTCACGTCAAAGTAGAAGCTCCCGAGGCCAACAGCCCCGAATATCAAAGCGTGGCCAGTCCCGGACTATATACCCCGTCGTACCTGCACGTGCACTATCATCATCATGATCACCATCACCAACAGCATCATCACCATCACGGGTATTTCCCAAGAGTGGCGCCCATGACGCCTCCTATTTCGGAGCCGGGATCTCCGGGCAAACGTCGGACGCCACCACCTCCCTATCCGGCCCGGTCGACCGTGCAAAGAACGATAAAGTTCAATCGGCGAAACAATCCCGACTTGGAAAGGAGGCGGACACACCACTGTAACTTTGGAGGTAAATATCACAATTGAATTCACGCGGTTCGATTCACATGTGTACGTGTTATTTGTGTTTTCAGGATGTAATAAAGGTTACACGAAGAGTTCGCATCTAAAAGCACACCAAAGAATACATACAGGTGAGATTCGATGTTATTCGTCGTGTTTTGGGTACGATTTACGGCATACGTAAACAGCAACAAGCGTGTATTAGTGAAAAACATTGTCCGGTACAACCCATTAGAGGGTTATCGGGCGGGATCAAACGAAAACGACGACATTCCAAATAAACGGGCATCAATTACACCGTGTACGACTAGGATCCGTGTCTCCTCCGCGTGTTTCATGAATGAATTCTACCACCTCCCGCGTAAGGGTATCAGTTCGCAGGCGCCGCTATTGTAATGCGACGGACGTCACTACGGTCGCGCACACAAAAGCCTTTTATTTCGTTATATATTTTTTTTGCTGCTCACCAAATGTACCCCATTGTAATACCATTGCCAAACCGTGTAATCGATTCGGGACGACGCCATCGCTTGGCTCCACCGTACGGCCGTTTCAAACAGACGGGCTCCACCAGATTTCGGCGCGACCACATCCTGTACACGCGCTGACGTGTGAGGCTCGACGGGTTTCTGCAAATTGCGAAGTTCACGGCGACCGTCCGAAATCGAAAACAAATGCAATTTCCTACCGGCGACCAGTTTTCCATTCGGTTGCCGGCGTCTCTTTGGCGATACCTACGAGAACACGCGTTACATTCGACCGTATCGTCGACACTACTAACACTTTCAGGGGAATCACCTGCAGCGGTCACGGCAGCAGAGCGTATTTTTGGAAACGGTCTCATTAATACTGTATCACTGAACTACACTTTGATGTCTCAAAGATTAATTATGTTCGCGAACCGACGTGGCGTTTGATTATTTCATCTGCCGCCGAGTACGTGACGCGTGTAACGATCGAAGCCGCGTGTATTTCGTGGGGTCTATCGTATGTACACAGGTTTTCCGATTCTGGGCGTGTCTGTTATCTACAAGTTGAAATTAAGTTTACACGTTGAAATAATGCGTTGCTCGCTACTTAAAACGTTTATTGATGTATTAACTAGCGCGGCATTAAAATCTCCGAAAAAAATCAACCTTCATTAAAAAAAAAAAAACAGCATTAGCTACGCTCATACGAATTAAGGTTTTTTTTTTTCCCTATAAGCTGTAGCGTAACTCATAATTGCAGATCCAGTTATAACACACGTGTTTAAACGATCCATTTATCGGGTAATTTTCTGCGTCCACTAAACGCTTATGAAATTACATTTTAAATATTTTCAGTAGTAGTTATTTTTCTAGCAAGATTTCATTTTCTCTTACATTCCACGTCGTCGGTCAATCAAACGTATTAACCTTGGACATTTATTCTATTCGATTTGCCTGAATCCTAGTCAAACACTGCCGCCAGAGAGTGTTTTTCTTTGCTACGTCCCGTTTGAGTCGTTTTGGGTAACAATAAAAATGACTCATTTGGGCGCCCATGGTATTTATCCACGCGGAGAAAGTAACAATGCGCATCCATAATTTTTTAAGTATACGGTGCTACGGGATCGTCACAGCCGTCAATGCTCTGCCTTTGAACGCACGTGTCGTACATTCTTCGGGCACGTTGATGTTGGCATACCTGATGTGTACACAATCGTAATCAACGGGTACGCAGAAGACGAGCATGGCGATTGTAGTTGGCACGCGAACACGTTTAGGATGTGCTTAATATACACATTTATTAGAACGCGGGTCTGTATATTTTCGCTCTCCGACGACGACTCGAAACGTCTCTAATTTGTGAGTGTATGTTACGACGGCGCGCAGTGACTTACAAACGCGCACAGTTGTAATAACGCCCCGGGCCAAAAACGGCTCATGGAAGTATGTCGTCTCGGCCGCGCGTAGCCGTCGCTCGTCTCTGTCGGTTGTACACATATGAATGCTCGCACGCAGAGGTCCTCGACCCTGGACAAGACAAAACGGTCTATGAATACAGTGTACATAGTGTAGTGTGCCGCCGCCGCCTTGTGTACGGTAATGTACACGAAAAATGAGCTCATTTGAGTATGTATACGGTAACAATAACAGCGGCAGACAATACAAGAAAACAATAAATGCATAACGTTGTACACTGTGCGGCGGCGGAGTACTGCACAATATTGTTCGTGTGTCGCGATCGGAAGCCAATGAACATTTTTTTGGCATTGTATCTCTATGTACGTGCCAACGTATAAAACACCAATTTTTGCTTATTGTTTACAATCACGTGCGGTTTTTAACGGCTTTCTTCTTCATACACGACAGTCCGTTGGTTTCGGTTCACAAATTCTTCCGTAACGTCAAAGATTTGTGCAAGACAAATAAAATTGCTGTTTCCTAGAAAACTACAATATTCGAATTAAAAAAAAAAAATGCGTAGATTCGTGGCCCACAAAAGTCGTCTTAATTAGGTGTGTGTTTTGGATAATTATCATATGTTTTTATCACACTACAAATGTTTCGCGCGTTTGATTTATCGCATTTTTTATTTTTCATGCCCAATTTCAGGGTGTCCCATCAATTTTGACATCTTTAATAACTTTTCATCTAGCGAATATTTTGTTTACTTTTATTTTGAAAATTATTTTTTGTTTTTAACTACATTAAAAGCATATTTTTATTATTTCTCTCTAATAACGAAAAAAAATAATATAATTTTTTATTTTTCTATATCAACGAAATTTCAAAATTTTTTATCCTCTTAACTTACAAACAAATTTAATGGGTCGATAACGACTTTAGGATAAGTAATTATTGAGTTATAAGCATCTAAATGTATAGAGTAAGTATGTATTAAAATACTCAAACTCAATAAGTACTTGTTCTAAAGTCGTTATCGACTCATCACAATTTTCTTCAAGATCTAAGAAATGGCTATTTTAAAATATCGATTTTTTTTTTTTAATTTTGTATTGGAGACAAATGAATAAAAAATATGCTTTTACCTTAATCTTAAACTGTAAAAATCATCGAAAGATAAAAGCAAAACAAAATATTTGCTGGAGCATAAGTTATTAAAAATGTGTGGTGGAACACGTTGTATATTTCTCAGAGAAGTGTTTACCGGTCAATGGATTGCAAAGAACGCTTTGTATAATTTATAGTTAACGGTCATTTAATTTTTATACTGAATGGGTTGTAGATGAGCGTTAATACTAAAATTATGCTATTCAATCTCCGAATACCAGTTCTGTTTATTGCTTTGGCGTCATTAAGATATTGGCTATTTTACTAATTTCCTAACGCGTTATTACAATACACGTGATATTCTGTGTGCGCTAATAGGATCCGGACCACTCTGTGTATTTACTTAAGTGAACGAAATTTAATCGGCAATCGCATTTGATATTAATATATGTTTATAAGAAGTGTTTTATTACTGTATATTTAATAGCTGTTCGATAGCGTGTCGGGATGAATTGCGTCAGTCGGCCGGGATGAGTGACATCCGAGTGGCGTCTTTGAAGATCTCTTTGATGGTATCTCTTACACGCGGTCATTTCACTAAGTGGCATTTCAACTTGCCAATGGTCGAATCCGTTAAAAAATCGTTAAAGTTTTAATTTATGTGTTTTATATTCGTTTTTATACTTTAATCGAACGGGCAATATGCGTTCGTATTAAAAAAAAGTCCGTAAATGGTTTCCATGTTGCACCAGCAGTGACCACGATGAAAAAAAATCTGTTGGAGATATCTTAAAGGTGTCCCGCCCGACCAATTAAAAAAGATAATTCTCGCATGTGCGCACCCCGCGTTGCCGTCTAATAATATAATAGCTGTTTGTAATAATAGATGGAAATCTCATCATTGTAAAACAATCTAGATCGTTATTGCTTCGGAAAGAGTTAACGTGGCCATATTAGTTGATCGTATACATTAGTGTAATATGCGATTATAATTTCACACCTACACGCGACAACCGTGTGCTGCGCGCACGCGAGGAGATTAATTAGGAGGTATACGTGTGTACTCAACGTTTGCGTTGTTATTTTTTTTAATACTTGGAAACTAAATTCGTAAAAAATACGTCGCGTCCACTTAAATATTCCTCTGACGTTATTTTGTAAACCGTACAAACGGCAGCTGAATACAATTTTATGGGGATTCACTTATTTCGTTACTTTCAGTCGAAAATCTTGTTGAAATAATAATTATCGTATTAGCCGACAATAGTACAGGCTAGCGTGTTTTTTTTTTCATGTTTACTATTCCTCTGTGCAAGTATACACACCGAAAACTCGACGTTAAGTAGACAGTGCGTTTTAAAATTAAGTTAAACGTGTTGCACGCGTTTGCTCTTCAGCGTTATGTCTGTAGCTTTTCATCAGAGACTTTAACGCCTGTGCGGCGCTGTATTAACATAGTATTTAACAACTGACGGGTTAAGTTCTATGGAAGTAATAATATTTCTAGCTGCTGTATTTTTACATTATAAAGAACTTTTCACATATTATGCCAACAATAAAATGACAGCTATGATAGACGATGCTCTCAAAGGTATAGAATACAAAATCAGTGATTTTTTTTCATTATACTTTACATATTGTTAAATGCACATAACATGATTGCTGATAGTTTTTTGTAGCCATTTTTTCCTTGTGTTGATAAATTTATTTTCCCACTTCTGGCTAATATAAGACATATTATCTTGACGTGTATTCCGGTCACGTCTGTCTGTCGCATCGCCAACTATTTTTTGTACTCAACCGCATATTATTAAAGAATATGATTATTATTATTATTGTAGGCAAAACGAAACAACGGGTTTCTGTCTTGAACAGTCATATCTCGTTGTGTTCTACGAATAATCAAACATAGTTTATGCGTATGACAAATGTAATATCAATTCTCTTACAAATAAATAATGTCTTGCGTTTTATTGGGACCCATATGTCTATGTTATGCGGTCGCGTACTTTAAGAATTACTAAAATTTTTTTTTTGCTTAATTACTCTTTCAGGTATACTCTCTTTGCGCATTAATATTAACGTATAATGTTTTTTTCCCCAGTTATGCAAGAATCATGTGAATTTATTTGTTAAAAATTAGAACATTATTTTCTTGTTAAATGACTGTTGTTACAGTTTGTTCAGAGTTTATAATTGTTTTTTGAAACGCATGCAAAATATTCGTTTATCACGAACCTCTGCGCACAATCATAATTAATAATTATTATTGCTGTCTTTTTTAAATGTCTACCCACTCAATCACACTTTCTGTCTACACCAGTCTAAAAGAACATTATTACCCACTTACTCGACGTGAAGTACATATTCTGGGTCGTTTTTTACCGGATCCGCCATGCTGCACCGGCGGTAAATGTTTTTGATGTTTTTTTCTTCGCCTTGGATTACCGGACGCATGGCGTTTAGTAGTGTGCACATATAAAAAACACACTCACATATGTAGATGCACTACATTGCTCTAACCGAGTTCTTATTTATTTTAGTGAGTAAGACTATACATGAGCTGTGTACAAAGCGCCACCGCGCCCACCGCGTAAAATAATATTATTTAGTGCAGCGATTTATAACGACATCAGTGGGTACTTAACAAGGGTCAGGTGGTCGCTAATTTCTCGACAATCATAAAAACACATATTAGTGTCGCTTTTGAGTATTAAATTGAAAATTATCTGTAGATGGGCAACGTACAAGCACACCATGTGCTCAACGCGTTGTGCTTAGATGGGATGTATCACAGTGTTGACGTGTAGGATGCTGACAACTTTGGTTATTCAGATTACTGCTTAATATCTTTATTTTCCTATGTGCGTAACCTTAAACTGTTGATTTAGATATTTTTGTACGGCCCACCGCGTGTCCTTAAAAACAAAAAAACTACGACTAAACTTGTTTTCAGTTAACTTACCTAACCTAACCGTCTAAAGTGTTGATAATGTCTAATTTAAATGTAGAATCTCTTAATGTTCATCGCCAAGATCTAGATAGTGTCTGATGCCTCGTGTTATACACTTGCATCTTACTCATATGTAACAGGCGGATACAGATAAAATGATGTTGTACGTCAAAGCCAAGTATGAATCTACGTAGAAGTGTATAATTATATTGTGAACGTATTGCGCCGACATCGATCGTACGCTTTAATATTTGATTCGATTCGACCTCAACAACAAGTGTGAAGAATTAAGTGTACCGACGGGATGTAATTCGATACGAAATGTAAAATATACATAATTATTAGAGCGAATTTTCTTTTTGTATCCAAAGCGCAGGGTGTGGTGCTGATGTAAGTGTCGGTGATATCATTTGCCCGTCCTTTCGATAAATTCCCAAGTAAACATGACAAGATATGGCGATGACGAATGTCAGTGTTCAACAGTTATAAGCTGACGGATCGTGACCTCTGTGAAGCCAACACGGGTACAATTATATTAATTATCGTGAAGCGAAACTCTTTGGAACACATCCGAAGTACATCCGTCGCTCGAAGAGGATTTTGTGTTCCACAATGACCCTCATTAAGTCGTACTGATTATTCGGAAAAAAGCCAATTCTCGCAATTGTGTTTGCCATAAAAAAACAATATGCACACAAACGAACCACTGTGTTATTTTTGTCATTTTGCGTCTATTGAAATTATTTTCGTTTTTATGCATATCGGTAATGCAACTGTGAGATTATATCTCATTTGTTTGCTAAGAACGAACACATCATTTCCAACCCCTCGATTCGGTAGCGCCAATTTTCCTGTACTCTCACCCGGAACAACTGGCGATTCACTGGTGTGTGTGGAGAGGAGTCTCTGAGACCCGTCGCCGGATAGTTCAATTTTCCGCTCGAGTGATTGTGTAAACGCTGTTGAATTGTCAACCATATCATCGTATTATGAGTAGTTTCGAATTAAAAAAAAAATAAACGAAATTCCACTAAAAACACTGTTATAAACTGCGTGTGTAAAGTGCGTATCACGTCGAGTGATGTATAGGAACTCTGGTCGGGTAACGCCGAAATAATAATAATAATAATAATAATAATAGTAATAATAGTAAACGATGCTTACGCGATGACTTCACATTGTGTATAAATACCTTTTGTCATATAAATTACAACGCCAAGGGTTCGATATTAGTGTCAGCATAGAGTACTACATTATGCATGTAGATATAATAAAGCGGCTGTAAATCGTGTCGAACAGACGCGTTGTCAACGGGACTATCATTTTACGAAAGTCTAATTTTTTTTTAAATTATGTCGTTTTTGTTGTTTATTTTTTTACGGGCCGTGAGTCGCTTCCGTCAATGGCGGCCTATGTGCAACGTTAGCGGCACCAAACACGATCTAATCGATTTGTGTTTTTTTATTTTTGACAGACGCATAATCTAATTGAAAACCGAGGAAGTCGCATGTTTACCACCGTGGCAGCAGTCCCGAACACCACACGGAGTTTTAACACTGACATTTGATACACTCAAATGATCGTTTAAACTCTACGACGAACTGCGTATATTTGATTCTGACCCAATTCGATTTTATCACCAGAAAATTTACCGATTTTTCCAACTCGTGGACTTTGGTTGTTTATCTGTTGATTTTCGAAGAGGGTTATTGATTCGTCGGTATGTGGTAATATGGACCGCTAAAAATGTATTGTAATTATTGCGATCGAATGGGCCATGACCGTTCGTTCAACCTTTTGTTGTCGTCTTTCCGGCTTTAGAAAATAATAATAATAATAACAAGAACGTCGAGAGTGGGCTGCTTCAAATTTCAATCGTTAAGTTCCAAATCGGATAGTAACACAATTGAACATTGTTGTCACAGTCGGTAATAAACGAGTTGAGCGTGGGCTTGTCGCTTCTTGGTGCTTGAAACAATGACGGATATGTATAAATATTGGCGGTGGAGAGCAGTGGAAGAAAAAAATTCGCGAGTAAATACTGTCTCTGTACCGGGGCGGGGAGGGGCGTCCCACATCCACTGTTTGTTAATTTTCCGAAAGAGTCCGTATGATTTTTTTTCGATGGCCTACTCGAAAATCGAGTACGCATTTGTTTGAGCCGTTCGAGATCAATTAAAACATATTTTCAACGCATCGTGCGGAACGTGGGAAGCAAACATTGTTGTTGCGGTTTTCAGTTGTGTTCTGACGACCGGTAACAAGTGCGCGTTTTCAGCGTAAATCGAAATAAAGTTCGCGTACAATAGAGTTTTCGAAAGCCGATTGTATTCATATTTTCGGATTGTGTAGAACAATGCGAATGTTAAAAGTTGATTGTTAATTGTTACTTTTACAGATCGTAAACACAAACTGTTACGACTGACTGTTCCGATTTTTATGGATTGCTGTGCGGCACAATTTTTTAACAGTCTTGTTCTGCTGTTTGTTCACAGGTGAAAAGCCGTACAGGTGCACGTGGTCGGCGTGCGAGTGGAGTTTCGCCCGTTCGGACGAGTTGACTCGTCATTACAGGAAGCACACGGGCGACAAGCCGTTCCGGTGCGAAGTGTGCGAGCGGTGCTTTGCTAGGTCTGACCATTTGGCGTTGCACAAGAAGCGCCATCAACCCAAAACGATGCAGCACCAACAGTTGGAATTACCCATGGTGGCGGCAGTCAAAGCCGTCGCCGTTGACCAACACCAGCTCCAACTGCAGCACCACCAGACTCAGCTGCAACAGCACGCACAGCAACATCACCACCATCAGCAGCAGCAGCAGCAGCAGCAGCAACAACAAAAACACAACATGATGATTTTGAACGGCGGCGGTTTAGCGGTTCCCGGCGACAACTCCGTCAGACAAATGGTGTCCGTGTGAAATTCCTAGTTTTGTAGAATTTTCAAAAATATCGTTTCTGTGCCGAACGTGCCGTTGGTTTTTCCGCGCGGGCACTTTTGACCCGCGTCGGTTTTTCGGTGCAGGAATTTCGTCTCCGCGGTCGACAATGACACCTTAACGAACGGCCATTGTGCGCTACAGTGTGAAAAATGTACACGATACGTAATAGCGAGAGTAGTAACAAAACAAAAAAAGAACGGATAAGTGACGGGCAAACGGCTCCGGGCGACCTCGTCCATACGGGTCAACTCCAGCACACGCTACGGCACTTATCCTAATGGCAAACGGTGAGCTTCGAGCGTGCGGCATACAACACGGTAGTAGTGCTTAGATGTAGTAGTCTCGGGTGTTATTATTATTCACACAATGGTGTGTTTAAGTATTATTCATAGTTATTAGCGACCAGTTGTATGCGGTGGCCCACACGCTCTCACACGATAATATAAATAATAAATTGTAACAAGAAATGTGTCCTATTATCGTTTTGAAACTATTCGATCGTCATCTCCGGCCGTGATTAATGAGCGGCGCACTTGTGGCCTTCCACAACGATCGGCTGATTAATAACCGATTGTGATCAGATACCGGTAAGCTTGCAACGTTAGCTTACCTTAGCGCTACTATGGCCCTTCTCCCCTCGAGTCTCCATAAAGTTTTATTATATTTTCACTTGCGATTCTTAGCCTTTGCGTACCGTTTCCTATGTATTATGTAATTTTAGTTTTTAGTTTTTTGTAATATTATTAAAATGTCCCAAACTGGTTTGGATTATCTCTACGCATTCGAAATAAAAGTAATACGGGATTAAGTCATCCTCTCGGTATTGTTTTATATGTTCCATTATAAATTATTGATAATTTATGTGTGTGTTTTTTCGTGCTAAGTACCAATAGGTTGTAGTGTCGGGTTTTGTTACCGACAGTATGTTATTTTGTAATATAAAACAACGTAAAACGTTAACACGAATGTACTACAGATATTAGATATCTTAAATATAATTTTATAGCATTTTTTTTTTTTTTTTTCTAGAACTTAAGTGTGTTGTGTATATAACGGTAGAAAAACACACAATTCCTCGTATTCTAGCGATAGTTGTATTCATAATTTTTTTAGTGTTATAAAACCAGCGTTTAAAATTTGTTATTTTGTTGAATTTTTATAGACGAAAAAAACATTTTTCGACGTGTTAAAAATAATTTATGTATTTATGATTAAGCTATCATAAATACTCCCCTACTCCCCAAACGTTTAAATGTTTATTCTTGAAACTCGCCTTTTACCTGTTAATAGTCACTTTAATACAATTTTTATTGCATTAGATTTATTTATTGTAATTTATTTAAATTTACTTATCGCCGTCTTTCGGTTTTTATGTCACTTAATTAATTTATCGAGCACCTTGAACACTTTTTAATTGTTTTGAATATGATTATTGAAAATGTACGCTTAAAGCACAAACCAACGATGGTCTCTGCTGAGTGTGCGTTTGTTTGTGAATTTCTTACTTGAAAACGTTAAAAGGATGTAGACAATGTTGTTTGTTATATCCAATCGTTTTGCCGACCATCTCCTAACAAAAATGTTAAAAAATTCAAGAAGTACTATTCATTTATTTTTTATGTGGACTTTAATTATCTGATCTCATTATTAATCTAAAGTAAATTTAAAAATCGATTTTGACCGTGAAATAATTTTTTAATTCAAGTGTATTAAATCATATTTTTATAAACGGACCCCAAATTAGTCGGCGTAACAAGTCTTGCGTTTATTTTAAATATCTTTTGTTTTCAAAACAAATAAAGTATTTTTAGTAAAAATATTCAAACTTTTAAATATATTAACAGCATGTAACGTTTATAGATATTGTACAAAATACAAGTATAAGTTGCCTAAATTATTATTTCGTTAGAATTAATTTTTTTTTATGATAATCATTGTTTTTTTTTTGTTAAAATAATGTCTCCTGGGCGTTTTATTGCTTTCAGACACCTATTTAGAGAATAAAAATATTATTTTGTTCTAATGATGATGTTTTTTTATTCATTTCAACGTATATTCCTTTTATTAAATCCTTTTTGTGTTTAGTGTCTAGTAATATGAAATGGCTTAGTAAAATACTTGATTTGTGTGGTTTTCACATCGCATAAGAAACAATAATAAATAATGAAATAGAAGTATTTAATATACTTACAAAATAGATAATGATGAGTAGTAAAATTGGTAATGCCAAATATAATATATCATTAAACTATAATGAATAATTTATATGTTTATTAATCAAAACATCATGATTGATAATGAGTCGATAAACCGTTTCACGACAGATTCGCCTTCAACTAAGAAGTATAATCGACCCGAGATAAAAGTCAATAAGAATTTTAATGAATTGAAAATATTGTAAATATTTTTTAGTGAAGACTTACGTCTTGATCCTCGTACGTGTCATAACGGACATTTTGGAGTACTTCATTTTTACGACCTACCCTGACGGTAAACGTGTGTGTTTTACTCGTTTTCCAACCCTTAATGACACGATTTCTTGTATGTTAGCTCTAATAACGTAATAAAGTATGTAACTAATAAAAATTTACCAGTACACAGTTAACAGTCAACAGTAATCGTTAATGACTACGATTTTTACGAGTTTCTGTATGTACCACACGAAGCCAACCTACAGTTTCCCCTCAATTCGTGTTAACGATAATTTAATGGCCACCACCGGTGCATAGCGTTATGTCAGTAAAGTGAAATTTATGTACTATTATTTTTAATACCATTATTCCTTTATTATTATCCTATAAATTAAAACCCGCAGAAATATAATTTCTATAAAATGGTAATTATTAATTACCATTTTTTAAATAATTATTACCTATGCTCGAATTAGCTTGAATAAATATATATTGCAGAACAGAATACAAAGACTATAGTTTATTAGAACATAATGATTAAAATAAAATGAAAAACGATAAGAAAAAAGCTTTTGTAAATGGCTAAAAAATGTAAAATGTTGCTCACATTAAATGGAGCACAGTACGAGAATACATTTGAATAATAAAATATGCTTTAATCAATAAATAACAAGAATTTGTTTTTGAGGTTTGTTATTACAGCACAATTAAACTTGCCAGTTTTGTTAAATGAAGTATTGATATCTGAAATTTTATTTTCTTTGCAGTACTTGATACTTTTTATTGTCGAAACGCTACCTCGATGTTTGCATACAAAATATCATTTGCATTAAACACCGTTACACTATTACTTATGTTCATAACTCCAGTGTCACTATTTTTCCGTGTGTTGTCGATTTGTTGTTTTTTGCAAACATTATACGACAGTTTTTTCGACACTTATTCATGAAGAGCCAATGAATACGACGATTTTTTTGTCAGTACCATCGAAATACCATTAACATTATTTATCGGGATGATACATTTTTAGCTTATTTTTTGTACGAGGCAGCTAAACCGTAGGACGGCTAGTTGTGCACCGCACTAGAATGTCGTTTTACCTCAAGCCTGTTTAAATCGCTAATATTGAAGCGGGAATGGGTAACTTGGGGGATGAAGGCTAACTGTACATCCGATAAGTAACTAGAATAGACAATAATTAAAAAACAAATAACCACATATATTAGAAGTTCTTCAAAGGGTATGTTAAATTTAAGGGGTAACGGGGGGCCCTTAAATACTGATGGCCGACGAAGCGACAAAAAACAAAATAATTAAGCTCAATTAAAACAAATAGTAAATAACATTAAAAAATAATATAAACTCAGCTGAATAGATGAATTTGTTGTTAGATCTTGTAGTAATGGTGTCGAACATTTGAGTGTCAAGAGCAGAGTGTAGATCCAGGTACGTAATGGCGAATGAGAACAGACGGCGGCACTGAAGATATTTAGTGATGGTCAGGGCCTAACCACTGGTGGCGTGCAAGGGCACGAAAACTTTGGACACAAGGGCGCAATAAAAAAATTAAAAAATTACGGCGTACGATGGCCGGACATTTACCATTGAAGCGAAAGCACTTGCTACAGAAAAAAATTACACGTAACACAAAATTGACTATCTGATTTATGATAATGAACTGTACACAGATGACAATTGACACGGAGGTCATCGATTTGCCGTGCTGGGTGGACAAGGGGTTGAGTAAAGCAAGATACCAGAGATCAGCTGTCAAACGATATAATATAATCAACGATGTTTGTAACAACTGGTCTACTAGATCTTTGCTAAAGACGTTCTGTACCAAACGACTTATAACAAGCAGGAATTTTGCCAACAAGTCTTAAGACGTTATGCATAACAGAGATAATAATTATCCGACAGAGGTAAAAATATTTTAATTAAAAAATCAATTTCTTGTACTCCAATGCCTAAATGATATTTTATTTTATAAATGGGTATATCAGTGATTTTGTTCGTAATAGCTGAAGCCGAGTGGGCCTTTTCAGAATAATTAAAATGATCAATTTTTGCTATTTATACTACTGGTTCAATAACACCTTTATTATTTTTCTTTGACAATTTTAAACATGTCCTGTGTATGTTAAGTTGTCTTTCAATAGATTCGACATCCAGGTCTTTAACAAAATCTTTAAAGTCATCACTAAGTTCGATTATTATTATAACGATAGTGTAAAAAATCACATCGTATACTGCACAGGGAGTGTTTGATTTATCGTGAAAATTCTGTGACAATTTGCAGTAAAACTATTGTCAATATCACGAGAGCTAAATGATTTTTGAATGTAGTCACTGCTACACACGGTACTAAAAACTTTAACTTTAAAATATTTTTATAACAAATCCTGATATAGATTGAATAATTATCGCATGTATTTCCTATTGCAGTTGGTTCTTAATGAAGAACTTTTCATAATTGAACTGAAAATTTGAGTCGATCATTTCTTCGAAAACCCACAACGTTTCCGCTTTTTAAATACAGAATAGCGATGTTTACCATGATAACAATATTTTCGTGCACATTTATCTGAAAAATTAGATTTTGATGACAATGTTTCCCATTATATTGTTAAAATTCACTAACTTAACATATAAAGCGAAGAAAATCGAGTGACAAATTGTAAAATAAAAATAATGGATGTGAATTGTTTTTTTTAGATGATTGTGGTTATGTTTAACAGCTGATTTTTAAAAACTAAATAAAATGTATAATGATGATTTTTATTTTATTATTTAGTTACAAACGTTTTTATATAAATTTTATAGGGGTTCTAACGACAGATGATTTACATAATTTTGAATTAGTCAACGCTATTTTTTTTTTTTTTTTGCGATAAAATATTGAAATAATTACTATAAATATTTACTTGTATTACAAGAAAACGTTTTTATTATCCCTAACATAAAATTCATAATAATGATTTTTTTCTCGAAACTATCTAATAGTAATAAAATGATTTTGGTACGTCTTGAAGATCTAACTTTGGTGTTAGAAATTTTCTTAAGTTAATATAGAGACGCACTTTGATTGGCTACGCTCAGTCTGAAATTCTAGGCCTGAATTAAAACTCGATTATGTCTGATTCGTTTTAAGACAAAATTTGATTTATTATATTTGATTAATGTTGTGATTTCAATGATAAAACAACGTCCTGTGATTCTACATAGACCTGTCTTTAATGCGACAAAATAATATACAGTTCCGAATCATTACCGATTCGAAAATACACTTTGTCAACTGATTAAGGGGCGACTTACTCTCGAACAACGTAGAAATGAATGTTGTAATCATATTTTTATTCTCTCCGTGTTAGTAGCTCAGAAATGATGATTTTTTTTTTTATTAAAACATGAACTTGCCTATGACTCATAAAATATTATTAAAAAAAAAAAACACAGAGTAGTTAAGTGCAAACGATAATAACAATGTCATATTCGTAAACTGATGCGAGATATTAATTGCTGTTTATAATTGATTTTTCAAGTTCTTATCCCACTGAATACAATAAATATGCCATTGCGGAAAACGTGTTATATGATTCGATAGAAATGTTAAAATACATGTTATCGTGAGATACACTAAATATCAACTCATATTAATATGATTCATTTATACAAACAACATAGACACTTTTAAACGGCTGGTAATTCGAGTGTTTACCAATAAAATCCTGTGCCCGTCTAACATTATTACACTGAATGCATTTAGCTTTTTAGTTGTAAATCCGCGTAGGATGTCTGCCATGCTGTGGGCCAATAATTTTTCTAAGAACAACAACATCGTCATGGTGTTTTGCACACACGGTCTTCGAGTTTTCGCAGTTCGGTTTCTCTGTTTGACTGAAATGT